GTGGCGCGCTCACGTGCCACGCGCGCTTGTTACGCGCTTGCGCAGACCCGGGCGTTTGTAAACACCGTCACCACGTGCGCGCGCACCACGTGCCGGAGACCACGTGTAGGTCTCTCCCGTCCGTGCCGCACGGCGGCGGAACCCTGCGCCGGACCCCGACCGCGCCGGCTGCACCAAACATGCCGATTCCACGGGAGAGCCGATCTACTCTCGGTTACACGTGCCCGTCGACATTGCCACTTGCAACCGCCGTCGCTTCCACGTTTGCGTTTTTCGTCATTCTTTCGCCCCGTCCGTATAGACATAACCAACGACTCAAAGAGGAAGTAAACGTTGCGTCCAGTTAAACTTCAATGCGGAGGAGCCGACTGAGACACCTGAGCTTTGAGCTTTCGCCACGGTGCAGCCAGGTTCTAGACATGCAGTCGTTCGTGTCCCAGGTCCAGAGTTGAAACGAAACCAACCGTGCGTGTCACGACCCCCCCCCCCCCCCTTCCCAAAAACCCAAGGTGTAGCATCCGTTGGGCAGGTAATCAAGCGAAAATAAAGCAAGACGTCCCACCACCACCTCCTTAATCCTTGCTGCCCCACCACCGGAACAAAATGAGGTTTAAGCAATTGCGATTTCGGGTGAAGCTTTCAAAAGCGTGCTACTTGGCACCTGTAAAACACAGCGGGGCAGTGCCAGGTTGAAAGGGGTGGGCACGGAGCCCACTTCGTTAGACCCCTGTGCCCCGAAGCAGGAAAAGAAGATCTCTGCTTCGCTTGACCACGTTTGTTCGGAGTATGAAGACACGTTGAGCTTTGACGCTGTTATCAAAGTCTGGCCTAACTGGTTAAGAGCACAGCACGAACTGCGACTAGTTCTGTCCTAGGCTGGGCCCTTCCACAAACCAGCAGCGCAAGATGTTTGAGGAACGTAAAGGTGCGGCGCTGCAATAGCTTGCTAGCGAACCTGTGCGAGGAGAGAAGCAGAAAGAAGAAAAAACAGAATTGGTGTGGCCTGCAGTCTGGTGAGAAACTGGGCGATTGAGCGGGAGGGCGAGTTAGTCCGTCAGCGAGCAGGTGAATGAGTGGGCGAGCGGGCGAGCAAGCAGCGTGGACGAGACGAAACAGTCAGTGTCTGGTAGTCGTGAGTCCTCAACAGGGGAGGGGGGGAATGCACGAATGTCAATGTGGTGTTTACCGTAGGTTAGCTTGTCCCCAACAACTACACCACCGTCCACAACAAAATAACCATCAAGAAGAAACACACGCAATGGTCAACTCCGTTCGCCGAGCCTCAAGATCCAAGGCTCACTCACGAAAGGAGGTGCAGGATTACCACCTGGAGTTGGGTTTTGACATCGCAATCTGATATTTTAGAACCTGTCAACCATCAATACAAGATGGGAATGGAGCGGTGAAACCTCCAGTTTCGACGAGGAAAAATCCAGGCAGGAAGGGAAATCTCCTAGCGGCGGCACGCAGGTGAGTTGCCCCTCGCTGGGAGCGCGTGAGAGTTTGTCTCGCGTGCGCGCGCGGCTCGATGCCGGAGACACGGGCGGGTGATAACCAGCCTCCCCCCCCATCCCCAAAAGGGGTAGCTGCAGCGCCAGTGTCCGCCCAGCAAATGCATAAACGCACACGACCAAACACACCGTCACGTGACACACACGCACCAAACGCACCGTCACGTGACACGTGCACCAAACACGCCGCCACGTGACATGCAGGAACCAAACACATCGTCACGTGACACACACCGTCACGTGACACGCGCACCAAACACGCCGCCACGTGACACTCAACATGCTGCCACGTGACACGCAAACACTGCCATGTGACACGCGCACCAAACACACCGTCACGTGACACACGCACCAAAACCCACGACCACGTGCCAAGCACTGCCACATGACACGCGCACCAAACACACCGTCACGTGACACACACACACACCGTCACGTGACACGCACACCAAAGACACCGTCACGTGACACGCGCACCAAACTTTCGTACGATACGCGCACACACACTCATGACGTCTATACACGACCGCGTGACACTAAACCTAAACATTCATCCTATGAGGCTTTTAAGAATATCCGGAGGCCCGAGGCACGCCAACTCGTGCGGACGTACACGGGAGGCTGATGTGGCACGTCGAAGCGCAATCGTTTCTCTTGCTCCCCCACCCAATCGCCCCCCCCCCGCCTCCTCCTATCCACTCTGCCTGGACAATAACAGCAAGGGCCTGCTGTCAGGTGTAAGGGAGTTGACTGGGCACGACACGCACACACACAAACACAAGTGTGAATGTTGCGAATTTAATGATGTGCTACATTCGCCCGAACCTGAAGTAGGGGCAGGAGGATGAAGAGAAGGAGCAGAGTTGCTGCCAATTACATTTGCCTAGAAAAACCTCAGCCTTTGTTTGCTGTCTAATATCTAACTCTCCCCTACAGAATCATTAAAGGAGGTAGGGCGGATTGTCTTTCTTGAACAAAACAAATATTTCTTACTCACCGCCCACAACCCCACCCCCCTGCCTCTGCTCCTCCACACTACTCGTTCCCCTGGACAGCACAAAGAGGCTTGCATATTCATGCAGCTGCAATCAGCTTCAGTTTTAGCTCAACCCCCCCCTCTGCCCCACCCATTGTCCTCCCTCCCACCACCGCTGCCGCTTGCCTCTGCCCAGCCCCCACAAACAACAAATAAATCTCTTCTTCCATACGAGCCCACACCTCCTTGCGGCCTCAACACGGAGGACCTCCCTCCATCCAGAGGACACCCCATTCACATTTACCAGGTGTTAGAATAACAGAGGCACCGAAAACCACCCCCACTCCTTAAACACCGACAGGGTTTCTTGCGATGCGGAGCCGACGCCTCCTGAACGCGTTTATAAACACGTCTTCCTTTAAATGTATTCAATAGCCAGACTGCCCCCTCCCCCGCTCCCAACCAGCCTCAGCTCCCTTCTCACAAGCGACGGCGTCCATCCCGAGATGCGATAGCAGAGGAGCGGCGAAGCGATAACCGGGCTTCACAAAGTTCGCATGTCGTCCCCCCCCCCCCCCCCCAACGACCTCTCGGCATCCGTGCATCACGACCAAGTAAACGCCGTTACAGGTCGGATAAAACACGATCCCTTGGTGCGACGGCTACGCGTGTATGAATTAGTGATGCGCAAATCGCAAGCATCCTACAGCCGTACCCATGGGTGCGGACGCAAGTTAAACAGGAACGCGCGCGGAGTTTCTGCACCGTTCCGAAACGCTGCTTTGAAAAAGACGAGAATTCATCCTCATTATTATTGCCTCCCAGTTATCAAAACCCGAGGCCCATACCTCAGGGTCAGCCAAATTAAATATTAATCTTGCCATGGTGACCTTTTGAACCCAACAGCAATCGCATTTACACTTGCAAGGCAGTCAAAAACAAAGCAATGGCAGTTGGATTGTAAAGAAAACACAAGCTGAACTCTCCCGCCCCCCACCACGAAAAACCAGTGCTTGCCCCCTTGCGCTTTTGCGTTAAATCATCTCGCACAGGGGAATACACCGAGGCGCGTCCTGCGCAGCGCTGCGGGGAGCACGTGAACCTCGCCGCCGGGTATCCACAAAACACGCGCACACAGGGGGCTTCAGCGGGTGACAGCACGCGCACGTCACTCACGCGACGGCGCTCGGTGCCTCTGGACAACTCCCTTCAACAACAAGCTTTAAAACACCAAAAACGCCGTTCGGACGGCTCAGATGACGTGGGCGAGGCCATTATCACCGCGTTAAATAATTTCACAATTACCCCTTCAGTAAAACGGCAGCCACCGGCGGGAATGCGGAGAAGCGTGCCAGCCGGTGCCGTCCCCTCTCCCCGAGGTTCACTTCCACGAGGCTCAGCTCCTCCCGGCACTTCCCACTCGTTGCGCAAGTGCCGTTCCGGCAAGGAGCTGGAACCACGTGCGCCAGCGAGTGAGCGAGCGCGGACGAAACTTTTGCGGCGCGCGTGGTGCGGAAGCCATCGAGAAAGTGGGTTACCGGCACACCTCTTGCGATAGCACGGGGGACATAATAAACATGCAGTACGACCTAGCAGCCAGCCAAGCGCCCCGTGGGTTTATGGCATTCACAGACCGCGGTGGCGGCTCGCACGATGGTCAAACGTCGCGTCTTTAACCGAGCGTACGGCGTGGAATCGCAACCCATCTGAGTTTGAGACGGAAGGCACCGGCTCAAATTGACTTTTCTACCAAGTCAGTGCAAAGGAGCATTCAAAAAGCACGCTCAAAACATCTGTGCAAACATCAGCAGCTGTCGGATAAGTGGCAAATGACAAACACTCGGTGGGGGAGGCAGGGTAAGGAGATCACGCGGCACAAACTGCAGCCCTGTATGCCGCAGGCTGAGAAAGTGTCCCACAGAACCAACACTCGTGCGGCCTCAACTTGTCACTCAACTGTCACACGAATTCAACTGTCACAATGCCCACATTATGTCACACCGCGCACATCCAAAAGTGCCACACAAACCACGCCATGCTGCCCCGACCAAAAATCTGCCAACAAAGACGAAACTGTGAACAACTAAACCGTGCAGCATCACGCGACTTTAAAATCCCCAAACGAGGAGACCGACGTTACGTTCGGCACGGCAGTTCACACCAAGAGCGCAGAGCGGTTCGCAGAGCTCCGCTCGGCAGCCGCCGCGGTGGTCATTTCGACAGAGAACTGGAATTCACTGCCCACGCGGCCCATCTCTCCTTGCCAAATGAGACTTTCCACTGCTCGACGAGAGCGGAATAATCCCACCCGACACAATCAACTGTCCTGCAGTGCAGCCGACTCGGTCAGCCATGTTGGAATGCATTTTTCTCAACACAAAGGCTCCCACAAGCAAAAAAAAACGATCCCATCGCCCAGCAGTGGAGACGAGACAGTGGCGGCGGTGGCCGGCAGCGACTCTTTTGTCGAACGACGACGAAAACGGCAGGAAAGAATTCCCCCCCCCACTTACTTTTGCGCGTCGCCGCCTCATGTCAGGATCTTCGGCGCGGCCGCCTCCCTCTCGCTCGCTCCTCCGCGCGCCTCTCCTCCCGTGGCCTCTCTCTCCGTGTTACTCTCCGTCTCTTCGCTTCTTTCTCTCTCTCTTCTCAGCTCCCCCCCCCCCCACTACTCTCTCTCTGCCCCTGCTCTCCCGTCAGTGCTAGAAAGCAGCCATCTTACTTCCACCCCCCCCCCCTGTCTCCGAGCCGGTCGCACAGTGCGCGCGTTCACTCTCTCGCGGGCGTTACGCGCGCGAGGTGACGCACGCACGCTCGCGCGCGTACCCCACAGCTGTCCACAACTAGCCCGCAAGCAGCAGCGGTGGCAGCAGCAGCGACAGCAGGCCCCCTTCACAATTTATTCTCGACGCATTCCACGGTCGCGTGCACTCGCGACGAGCACGCGCATTTGCATGCGAGCGCCCGGCTCCGGCTCCGACGACTACGTATTTCCAGGATATTCGGTTCGCTCAGAAACCAACAACTCGTGGCTCCACCAGCACACTGCTCTCGCTCTGCCCGCGCCTGCTAAACTGCAAATTACCCTGCCTCGACAGCCCAGGCTCCGTCTCTGCCCGAAACCTTTTTTAGGAAACAAAGGAGGTGGCTGCCGACTGCCCCCCACCCACCCGACAATCCCCCTCCATTCCCCCCTTCCCCCTCCTCAGTCAAACCCTCCATATAACCCACACCGCAAGCCGACCCTCCCCCCACCCCCAGGCACAGATCCCTCCACCCCTAACCCCACACCCAACCCGCGCACCATCCCCCAAAACACCACTCCACGCAACCCCCAGGCGCAGTGCTGGGGATAAGACCTGCCACGGATCACATGCGAGGCACATGGATGCTAAAGACAATATCGTGACTTGTTGTTTAAAGGGGACGCCCCTCAATCTCCCGGCACCGACGTTCGCTCCCGCGTGTTAATCGCGCCCCCCCCCCCCCACTCACAAAAAAAATGTCTCGAAAAACACAAAACGCTCAACTCTGCGGAACATTGTTCATTAAACAAGGAGCAGAATTGACCTCAAATGTGTGATCATTATTATTCCTAGGGAGGATGAATACTTACAACAGTACACAAAAAACGCCAAACAATTCATTGGCCCCCCGCTGTGTCTCCTACACAGCAGGTACTACTCCAGTAAACACGGAGCATTGTGGAGCCCGTGCCTCGCTATGCTGGCCAAACGAAGCCGGTGTCTCTCCAGGGGTGGTGGTTTGGACCCAGGAGCTAAACAAGCAAAGGCAAAAGTAGTAATTGAAGACTCGCTACCTCTCTTTTTCTCTCCAAGCGGCGAGCTGGAAGGGCTCAATCCACTCAATAAGCGGTACACGAGCCAGTGCCTACGCTGAGCTCAGCGGATATTTCGGTCCGACAAAATACATCTGAGAAAAAGACCCTCGGTGACATCACTGACCACGAGGCCACCTTTGACGGAAAGCGTGGGAAGCAGCAGACCACACGCGCGCGTGTCCCGAACCAGGTCTGTTTCACAGGCAAAGACAGAGATCCCCCGTGTAGCCTTCACAGGCTCTTGGGGCGAGTGTTGTGAGCGAGTAGCACTTATGAAGGCCGGCACGACGCAGGAGGGGGTGGGGGTGGCCAGCACCATCCCTGGCCGCTCTTGTCTGCCCAGTGGTGATGTTTTACACACCGCACGAGGTACTCATGAGGCTGAAGGCCCACCTTCACAAACACCTCTGAAACATGCGTATCGCCGAAATTCTCCGTAGGCCCATTATTCAATTAATCACCTTTTTACGAGACTCACCCCCTCTAAAAACCGCATCGCTGATAGAGCCGTGCTCAACAGGATCAGGACTGACTCGTCTGTTTTGCCTCGAGCAGAGGGCTGGAAATGCTGAAGAGAGCTCCGTAAAGGGTTGTCTGGTCGTCTTTGCAAAGCAATCTCGAGACTTATTAAATGTTGGGCCGAGCTTAAGGGTTGCTACCCGTGGACAGGCGCCGCACGCTTGCTTCCACGAGCGCTGCCCGACCCACGAAGCAACAAGCACGCGGCAACAGCTCATTCATCAACGCGAGTGCCCGGGCACGTGGTACCGCACTCCCTATGCCAAACGAGCGAACCAATCGCGCGCAAGCCGCCCGCCGAAGTGCGCTTGATACCAACATACGTCGGCGGTGCACCCGCTCTCGCTCCCCAGGTGAAGCGAAAGTGTTCGCAGGCTAATAAATGAATTCCGTTTTTTCAGAGTAATTTTATATCCACACTTGCCGAGCTGTAGCGCGCGTTCGCCGCCTGTCCCAGAGGCATGCGGTGCGAGCCCAGCGGACACCCTGGTTAACACCCCGGGTGAATTAACCATAAATGCTGCATTGTAGCGGACGTAAAATTTTCGTCTTGCAATTACATTTGAATTGAAATTTGCAAAATGTCAAAATTACATGCCAAACTCCCTAAGGTCACTCATTTGGTAATACCACATTGCAACATCGCCTCCTACTGTGAAGCTACTATAAGCTATACCCGTCTGTGAAGCGTAGTGCTTTCGTGAAAACCCTGCGCTATAACAACGGCGCGAACAACAAAGATGTACTCGTGATTATTCTGCCATGAATTTAAAACATCTTCTGCGGCACTGCCATTGACCAAACGCACCAAAGTCCCAACACATACACGCCATGTGTGATAAAATCCGGATTTTGTATGCCGTAGGCAAAGGGGATACACGCTCCCACAACCCAATCCCCCCCCCCCCAAGCCCCTCACCCCAATGCAGTGGGGATGGCCCCTTGGGGTTATCAATCGCACATACACACATGGCAGGCCCTGCACGGGATGGCCCATAACTCAAGACATCACATATGAATCCCAAAAGACAAAGATCCCCCATATAGCCTGCACAGACTGTTGGGAAAAGTGATATTTAAGAGCACCTATGAAGGCCGATACAACGCACCAGTCGGTGAGTGGTCAGCACCACGCCCGGCCGCCTTTGTCTCCCCGGTGCCGATTTATTTTACACACCGCACCAGAAACCCACGAAAGGCTGAGTCGACCCAGGGAAGGCCCAGGACCAGTTCAGCTATTCGTCACTGGTGTTGGCCGTGATCGTGAATCGAACTCAAAGTTGCGCAGCGCGCTAGCCGCTACACCCGTCGCTCACCAAGCGCGCGCGCGTGCGCGTGCGCGCGCACGCACGCACGCACGCAACACGCGCACGCAACACACGCACACGTGGCGTGTTTATGATGAGGGAGCGAGGTTGCAGACTGGCGTCCTGTAGTTTATATCTATGTAGTGCCTAGGCTATAGCTCAGAAAACCCACAAACCGTGACACAAGGCAAACAAGGGCGTTGATTATACGAGTCATCAACGAACACATGGTGATAACGTCATTCATCCAGGAAACCATCAGTCTCAATACAAAAAATTCAAGAGGGTGATACATTGGGGATGTCGAGCCAATTCTCATGAAAGCGAATGAAAGTAAACGGTAAAGTTGGAGCCCTGCAATAGGCCAAATATCTTGCAAGAGGGAATTTGGCCTCCTCTTTCACACAGGCCATATGCATTGGAAGAGGTAGAAATACCAACATCTTACGCCACCACACACCAACTACCGATGGACTGACTCACTGATTCTCAAGATGCAGAGGTTGTAACAATCAAAGCTCTGCGCAGATGGATTAAAACATCAATTGCTGTACTACCCCCTCTCCATATTGCAGTCCAAGCACACACCACCCTCGCATTCCCAGACTATCACCGATTCAAGTACCAACCAGACCCCAAATCTGCTTAGCTTCCAAAATCTGACAAGGAGTAGCATGTTTATAATTACTTGGTAGTTAGGCCAATCATAGTGTATAAACATTACAATTATAATCTTTGTGCAGGCACGTGAGTTGCGATACATCTGCTGTAATTTCCATTTTTTTTGTTTTCTCCATAAAGATTTTTGCCATTAGATGTTGATGCACGGTGTTATATAAATTACAAATATAAAAAAATCACTCTATGAACCCAACATCGACATGCTACTCCCACACCCCGCCTTGATGTTGTTTCATCTTGGATCGGTTCAAACTACTCTAGCTAAACATTGCCAAAACAAAATAATTCCTTATTGGCAAAACAGACACTCTGCAGATATTCAAAGCAAGAACCTGACACTAATCTCCTGGCTCCCTGTTCTGACGAACATTCTGTCACCAAATATGCGCAGAGACATGCAAACTGCAAAAGGGAGTTCACATGTTTTCTTGCCAACGACATCCACCTACCCATCATCAACTAAGACCTCAAGAATGTACCTCCCTGCTCACTTAAGTTCTGATCCCCCTTCTGGGATCGCACTGACACCATCCTAGAATCTCACCCAGAATCGGAAGAATGCCGGCAAACAGAAATGAACAAACGTGGACGTCCACAAACACCTCAATCCAAACCCAAACATCGCACTCCTCCTGGCTTTGACATTATTCCTAGATGACCCTGGAGCAACCATCAACTGCATAAGAACATAAATAGGCCAACGTGCACATCTTCTTCATGAATGTCAAATTAAAGACTAGCGACAGTCGTGTGATTTTGACACTCCTACCTATCTCTCTCTTCTCATCTCTCTCAACTCCCTTCCACACGCTCTTCCTTCCTCTACAAACTCATCTCCCTCTCTCGTCCAGGAGTCGGCAAAAAAGAGCCGCAATGCGTGTGAATTACGTGACGGTCCTTAATAACTGACGTCATGAAGCAGTGCTTAGAGAGTCACATGTGGCTCAAAAGCCGTATGTTGCCAAACCCCTTCTACGTATTCTCCGTCCAGCAACCCAGGGCTTTCTATCGAAACCCCCAGTCATCCTTTGCTCAGAGGGAGGTCGCTCATTATCTTCTGCTGCCCCCATAATCTGGAACTCACTTTCTCCAGCCATCTGTGCCGTTGACTCCCTGCTGTGATTCAGGTCTGGGCTAAAGACATTCCTTTCTCCTTACGTCTTTGACTGACTGCCTCTATTCAATGCCCACCGTTCCTCTGCAGCATCTCAAGATATGGTCACATTTATAAGTTGCACAAATACAAATTGTATCGTATTACAATGTATGGTCCTTTGTCAATCATCTGCGAGATTAAGGTT